GAGATCCAGTAATCACAGTCGCTTTAATTTCCTTCGCTGCTGGCATGTTGTCAAACAAGATTTGCACCGCCCTTCGAAGAGATTACATCTGTCTAAGAGAGGTGTTTTAGAGAAAGGTGACCAATGGACGCTTGGACTGGTGCTTTGAGTAAAATGTGTTCTACGAGCAATGCGTGCTCCTATATCTTATATTGGTCATTCCGGAATATTAATAAAGAATAAAATGGCCATTGGGGCTAATTTATAGCCACAACATAACATGCAAAAGATATACCATTGCTTTTTAATTGAGATATTGTCTACTCTAATTCAAATTAAAATATTCAAATTAAAAGTCATTTGTGTCAGGAGTTACACGTGCTTAACAGTACCACATTCTTAGACCAACTGTACAAATAATTATATTTTTAACAAATTCAAACAAACGTTTGCCCCTATTTTGCAGCTGCATGGTTTCCCCCTATGGTCCATAAGTTATTGCACTAACACGAGTACGGTGCAGTGTGCGGTGGTGAAAAGTCACCCAACGATGAACAAAGAGGCACAATAGTGGACAGTATCATATTTCAGATGAGATATCCCATCGCAACTGGCTAAAATTATTTTTAATCTGACATCTCTCATTCAGAATTAGCTTTTTTGTCACTGAAGGCAACCCTACCTATATTTTCCTTGCCGTGCTGCAGTCATGTGAACACTATCGATCTTGTCCGGAGTTTGCCAGAAGCTGTCAAATTTGTCTGCTCTGGGCTCAATTTGAAACCGCCATTAGCTGGTCGCCGTCCAGGACTTGACATTGGAACGCGATCGCTGACCCGGTCATGGAGGAGAGAGGTGGAACGATCGTAAATTCAGCGCCACGGAGCCTCGCATCTGGCCAAATCGAGCCGAGTGGCTGAAAGGAGTACCACAGCATGTTTGCTTATTGAGATATGGATTTAACAAAATTGCTACGCGTAGAATATAGACTGAACACGAAATGAAGCATTTTAAGCTCGTCATGACCTTCGAGACGCACTCTGATGTATGTATGTCACATATCTAGGCTGCTTCCGAGCGTGAATTCACAGTGGTCCTTGCATCATTCCTGGAGGCAGTGGGATCAGCCTTTAACCTTTCACTGTCCCAATATAACCTGCTGAGCACCACTGAGCCAGGTTTAAATGGCTTACATGATTTAATGAGGCAATCAAGTTAATCTCCTCCGAGTCCACGTCACCCTCTATCCCCAGCAGTTCGGTCCCTCTTTTGCCAACTCGTCTCCGGAAACGGCGCCGCCGTTTGCGCGATAAGCACCTTGACCATGTCTTCTGGACCATCGCTAATTATTTCCGCTGCACTCGAGGAGGTTATTTTTACCGCTTAACTAGCGACGACTTGGCCATTGAAATGTCAACCAAACGAAATAGCAATTTTCCCTGGCGCAAGGCTGAGGCTTTTGGCTCGAAAGCATTCCCTGGCTTAGGTATATTTATTCGCTTGTCTTCATAGTAAACTTTGATTAAATTAGATCTGCATAAATGTGTATTCACTCTAGGTAGTAAGGACATATACGGCCTTAGTAAGAGCTATTTTGCAGTTGTATTTTATTATTCGAAATTGGCTGTTACGGAATTGCATTTACACACAGAGCACCATCGTTAATGTCTTTACATTTGTATTGGCTTATGATTGCCTCTGCTCTGTGCAATTAACAAAGCTTTAACCATTTTATAGCAATCATAGCGGGTGCTGATTTCCTAGCTTATTCATCTTAACAAAACTTTCCATTTTATGAGAGAGACATCAGATTGTACGAAGTACGCCTTTCAAAAGTAATTGAGTTCAACGACAATGTAAAAGTGTAAAGGAAACGCTTCGTTTTTACAGACGTTTTGTATCCAGGAATATGTTAAAACAAGTTATTGAAGAAAAATTACAATGAGAATGATGTTAAGTTTTCACTAAGTGGACTGGATAGTGGGCAATGCTACTAGCCCTGTTCAATATATGTGACTGCATAACGGAATGCCTGCATCCATTTCATCGTTGGCACGGGTGTCGTGCTGGTATGCCAGCTCAGTATATATCTCGACCTCCAACTGAAAGCCCGGCTGGAGTCTGCCCATTGTAAATTGTCGGCTCCTGTTGTAAATTGGCAGAGAACCGGGCGCCCTCCCTGCCGCGTGCCCGCTGGTCTGGTTAAGATATTGGCCGGGAGCCTAGAATGGGTTAGGACCTGGTTCGGCCACTGATTGACCGACAGGACATTTTGTAAACTGAAACGGTGCCGTTCGACCGAAACGGGGTGGAGAACCGCATGCGACGAGTGAAATTTTATCGCCAGATGCCGGATTTCAAGGGTGTATCACTTTTTATATACCTACCCTTTGTGTTTCTCATTCCATGCATTCATGTCAGCAAATTTGTGACACTTGTAGTACCGCACTGAGTGGGTCGTATCTCGGCACCTGGCGAAATCGTCCTAGCGAATCCGATCAAAAGTTTGAACCGACTTGTCCGTTACATAACGTTGAAAATTTTCCACTCCTTATGCATCTATCCAGAAACGCTGAAATCAGCGGTTCCAGATTGCACCAGATGACAGACCACAAATCGGCCCCAGCAGCCTGCAGGCACGTTAGAGAGGCTGACGATTGCCAAGAAATTCCTATCGGTTCCACTGCTAGCTGTGCCAAGCGTGCTAGCTCCAGTTTTCACCAATAATCAACGAGTTCGACTGGTCAGGGTCTCCTCTAGGTAGTTATGGTCGTTGTAACTTTAAATACATCACTCGCTTTTTTGCATGGCTTGTAAACTTACCCAGCACTTTCAGTTCATAAAATATCGTCAATCGTTATCCAAAGAGTAAAAAACGGCGCCCGAATGAACATCTGCTTCAAAAGAAATGTCGAGTAGTTCTCACACACCATTGGAAGAGTGATTTAGAAGCTGTTAAGCTGCTTCAAAATACAGAATACCACCAACTCAGTCAGATAGTTGTCTGACGTGAAATGGTCGGGACTACCATTTCACTACCACTACCATTATGTCCATTATGACTACCATTATGTATCCGTTTAGCTTGTGTTACGAATATGAGACGGCTGCTTTAGACGTTTATGTTCTCACTCGGCTCATTTTTCCCAATTTATGTTGGCAGCAGTAAACCAGCATTATCACCCCTGCTTTGTGGCACGGTACGATACTTAATTTATTTTTATTGGAGCGTTGTTTTCATTTTATAATAAGGGAAGCGACCGTATAAATGTTCCGCTCGGTTTAGAGGAGCTCGCTAAAGCTCGGTTGATCGTCTCGGCGGTCGGTAATTGATCTCTATTTTAGACCTAAGGAGCAATGCCTGCCAGCAGTTTGGTCTGTACAAACAAGCCACCGCTGCGTTATTGACAACGAAATAACCTGGGTGACAGTGACGTCCGGTGATGACCACCGTGCCCTTCCATAGTAGCTGTCATCCTGACCGTCACCACCGCCCGCCCATGGCGTCTGTCATCCTCCGTGACTGCTGTCGGCGTATCATGACGTCCGTCAGTGGTCCATTACGCCATCAACGGCACTGATCAAAGAACCGCGAACGTCTGATCGGGGAGGTATGGACGAGGAATTTGTATGTCAGTACCAACTGTTCTGAACAAGTCATCAGAATTTTGCGCACGTCCTTTCTTTCAGTTAAGTTAGTCGGAGCAATTTCAAAGAATCCCTAAATTTGTGCCGTTTCTGACTCTTATTCAAGCTAATTGAAATTCTTTAATTGTCTGCTAAAATCAGATTATTACAAAATGTAAAAGAAAGCAGTGGCTCCCAATGTAGCTCTCGTTTCTGTCTGTGGCTCGCACGTTAGCCCCGTTTTGGCCGGCGGCACCGAGTGGAATTTACCCCGCCGCCCACCTCCGCCGCTCCCTGCGTTTTTATCGTTGACTTATCACGTGTCAGGTGTGACAGACGGCACGCAGGTGGGCCGTTTGTCAGCTGCCATCTGTCAACTCCCCCTCAGAAGCTGGCCGGGTGTCAGCTGGAAGTGGCTGTCCTAGGTCAGGCTACGCTCTGCCCCGCCCCGCCGCCTCGCCCTCCGCCGCGGCGGACTTATGTCAGGTAGAGTTTTGTGTCCCAGGTCATGAGAGGCTCACTAACATAACTCATGTCGACAATACAACACCAGAAAGCGTGGCGAGCGGCCGCCGGCGGCTCCTCCGCACCGCACCGGTGGGACCGCCTGGGCTGTTAGCAGCAACACATCGACCGACTAAAGACAACAGAGGCAGCGGGGCGTCTCTTTGAGAGAGGCGCACCGGTGATCAAACAGACCCGACACCGGAGAAGGGGCGGGGAAGAGAGGGAGGAGGGGCAGACATCAGCAGACCAGGTATTTAAAGAGCAGAGGGAGAAGGCTGAGCAAAAAATAAACGGCACTGGCGGGGCATTTCGGGGTCTTTTGAGGATCGATTTAACTCATGATTGACGTAGGTGGTCTGACGGAACACATTGCTTATTTATCCTATTGCCATTAGTGTTGGAATTGTTGCGGGTTTATTTACAGTCTGTTTCGACCGCTGTACAACAGGTTTATTTACTCGCCGACAATGCTATACTTTGGTATTGCTGCTCAATTTGGAGCAGCACAAGAGCGCGTGGTGTCCGATGGGTGGTGATATAAACAGTAAACACCAACTATTGACAATCAAGTTCAACACCTTTCTAAAGCAAGTTTGTCCGCATTCAGAGCTCGACATATCGTATTATCTACGTGATATTTGTATGTACGCGGCTGCAGGCTGCTGTTGCAATATGCACTAACCACTATGCACTAGGTATATGACCAGCCAGACAATTCTGACTCTTGTGGTTCCGATCCTGCTTCGACTTCGTGGCCGGATTTTTGTTACAAATTCTCGCCTAGCTTCCTATCCCCACTCCAATTGTTATTTGCCCTCCTTTCCACCCTGCCTCCCTCCAGATAATTCTCTCGACCTAACCCTATCTTCCGTGTTTGTTGGTTTCAGGCGCAGGCCGAGGTACCGGTGACTGCCTCTCGGACCCAGCAACTGAATGCGTACAACTCTCTGCGCTCGCCGGTTCCTGAACAGCGCAGCTTCCGACCAGTAGAGCTCAGTGGCATTCCTCTGCCCTCGTCAGGAGGACGTGTTACAGGTAAATAAGAAAACAACGTCACATAAACATAGAACGCATGTAGGTAGACTTCTTTTTGGTTTGGTTTCATGTCTAGTCACACAAACCATCTAGAGAAACACGATAAACAAGCATGCGTCGTTGATACTTTGTTGTAGACACGTTAACAACTAGCTACTCTCTTTGTTTTCCTTACAAAGCAAAATAGTTCTCATGCACAAGCATTCAACACTTGCCAATAACATTTCGATAAACGTTTCTACAGATCCAGCGTCTGACAGATTGGCTAGGCTTGGGCTGGTCATCGCGTCCTGTATCAATATTGACATCTGACACAACATTCGTATCATCAGGAGGGTGGAATTTAACCCTCGCCGGACCTATTGGTTTTCTACATACGCGCCGGCCGAGGGGGGGGGGGGGCGGGTACGACCCCCCTCGCCGTTTCGCCCCTGGTGGAGCTAGCGCGTCGCGGAAAAAACGAGCGTGTGCGCCGTTACGAGACGCAGAGATTGGTACCCGATTTTAAGGTCCTAGGTCAACCGGTGACCTCTGAGGCCAGGTCAAGTGCCCCAAGGTACGGTTCAGTTTTTGGTGAATAACTTCGCAAAAAACGGTCGCAGAGCGCCGATTTTGGCAGCATCGTGTTCGTCTCGCTCAGGCGCGTCGAATGATATACTTTTTGTCTGGGTCAGGTCAACTTGGGGTGTTGACCTCAGGTCAAGGTCAGGTCAGCACCCCCAGGTCACGAAGTTGGTCGAAAGAGGTCATGTCGCATATCATTCGATTCGGCAGGTCTTCCTGAGTCCATTGGTGGCTTTCCCGACTCGCTAGCTCAATTTGATCAAGAGTTATTGACGAAAAACTAATATGACCTTGATGACGTCATAAATGACGTCACGCAAGGTCAACATTGCAAAAGTGACGCATCTAACCTTGCAAGGAGTGCATCAAATCACGATTCTGTGTGCTTGAGATAGTTGGAGATCGTTCTCGGCGCCAGAATAGCAGTTTTCATTTTTCCCCATTGACTTATAATGGTGAGGTCACGAAAATGACCTGACCTCATATGACCTTTAGGAAAAATCCGAGATATACAAGTTGTGGGACTCATAATGGATACTAGATCCTGCAAGTCTCATTTCCCTGTGACATCTCCTCTGGCAGTGAGAGCGTTGCGAAGTTGCGACATCTGAAGACCGTGCAGAGGTTCACTTATGACGTCATAGGTCAGTGACCTGACCTGACCCAAAAATGCGGTTGGTGTCAAAAGATCCGGCTTGGATCAAAGGTCAGGTATGCCAAGTTTCAGCTCTCTATCGCCAGCGTGTTCGGAGCTATCGCGAAAAAACCCTATGGGGGGGGGGGGCCGGCGAGGGTTAACATACACGATGTGACGCATGTTTGACGTCGACGTTCAAATCATGTTGCTGTCAAACAAACGCAAGGTAAATGATTACTAACGTGTCTCCAAAACATTCTGCAGATTAATATGCGCGTCAGTCTCTGACGCGTAAATTGGCCACGCTGTTCCGTCGTCATCATTTCTAAAGCATGCCTCCCTTCGTTCTTACATCTGAGTCATCCTTATTCTTGCTGCTGCGGCTCAGAAACCTCTGCAGCTTACAACTACTCCTCATCTGGAGGCTTGTTGTAATGTTAGCTCACCACCGTTCAAATCCAGCCTTGGGCCTCTTAGTCACTTTAGTTTTCCTACACCCATGTATCCGCCTTCGCTCTCCGGGCGGTGATCCAGACTGTTTTCTAAGCTCCGCTGATCAGCGGCATTGGCAGAGTGGATCAGACGAACGGTATGGTTGTGGTCTCGTACGTTTAGAGGGAATCCTCCTCCCACCACTGGCGATGTCTGCGGTGAGGGAGGGCGCGGGTCAGTCTGACACCAGACTCGGCGGGGGCTGTCCGGTGCCGTGACCTGCCCAGCGGTCAGCCGTCCATCTGTGAGGGGTGGCACGGGCCGGTGTGAGGCGCCGTCGGTATGGCTGAGGACGAAGAGCCGCACTTTGTCCTGGGTCAGCCATTCGAGCTGTGTATCGAACTAGAAGACACGGCGGACATATTCAGGGTGAAAGAAGGTGGGTGTCGGCAGTCAGTTTGGAAGTGTCAGACTGGCATGTGGTGCCAGACGGGCAAAGAGAAGTCAGGTACTCTTTTGTGTCAGAAATCTGGCGCATATAATGTTAACACTTGATGCCAGTCAGCCTGGCAATTGGCATCAGAATATCTGACTGTGCCAGGTGGTTTTCTAGTATCAGTTCATCCGCTGATTTCAGCCAATTGTTTATTGTTATGCCTGTCCATTCTGTCTGTCTATGACAGACGTTCCATTTTATGCAAAAGTCTGTATAGTGTATATACTTCAGTAAGTTAGATAATTGCTTCAGTCTTTATTTAAAAAGACGCATGATCAATGCGATACGAAAGCCATAGAAAGTTCAAACGCTGTTGAGTGGTGAGCTTCAGCTGTCTGAAATCAGCTATATCAAATAAAATGACAACAATAAAACCGTTAGGATCACCCGATACATTCAAATCAAATTCAGCTGATATTCACCCGCGGACATTAGTCATGAAAATGGAAAATAGGTTGGCAAAAATGTCGTTGAAATTTACAGCCAAGCGCAAGACCAGTATATTGTGTGCCAGTCCCGCCATACCGTGTTTACCGCCGTGCCACCCATTCACTCTGCCGTACCGAGCCGGACCATTTCGAGTTGCCGGTATGTGGAGCCGTGCCCTCCCTTCATTCTGTCTGTGATGTTTGCCGGATGAGTTCCTGGGCAGAGTCGCGTCACTGCCGCAGTAGAACTCAGAGACGCAGTGCGGTTGAACCGGCCGTGGCAGCAGGCCATCACTGGGCCCGGTATGCGCCGCCGAGACGTCCCACTGAAACGAGTTGCTCGTTCGGCCACGCGAGACATTTACCGGATGGTTAGAGGGCATTAGCCGAGAACGATAATGTGCTCGGTGAGACCTACTAGCGACCTTTGCCACTGAGCTATCGGATTGTGTGGTATGGCGAGTCCATTATTGAACACAGGGCCCCAGAAATGGGCTGGATAGGATAATCATTGATAATCTGTTTACATCATCCATTTGACACGAAATGGACCGCGAGGCAGTAAAGTAACACTGCATGGGCCAAGAAGCTGCACATAAGCCTCTTGATGGGTCTGTGAGCACTGCCTTGAAATGCCACCCACAATAGCTTGGTAATGTTCTGGTTCTTGTTCAAAGTGACTGCAGGCAGCACATTTATCATATCTCCCATGGCCGCGTGCCGCTGTAGTTCATATAGCCGTCCCTAGGTAGCAGCATCTGTGGGCGCCTGGAAGTATGCTGTGCCGCACGACTTAACGTACGTTAAAACGGCGCTTATTTCACTCACCTCTTGGAATTGATACAACAACGTTGGAAACTACGTTTTAGAATTGACGGAAACACTAACTTATCATCTATTTACTGCATCTAGGGATTTATGTTGCATTAAATTGTTATGTTCCGGTACCTTTAAATTAGTGATGGCTATCGAAATCCTATTCTTGAAGGAGCGGCATGCGACGCTAAGAAGCCGCAAAAAAGCTATGCCTGCCCCTATGGAGAAGGTGTAGGACAATAAAAAATGTAACGTTTTTTATGCGACCGAAGTCGCGATACGCAACTGCAACAACAAGAGCGCGGTGAGGATCCAACGAAATCGAGTTGGTGGGCAATGTGATTACTGATTACGTTTGCGTTCTGTGTCTGTTTACAGCCGAAGTTGTGATGTGGTGCAGGTCAATGTAATTATGTTTGTCTGTGTCTGTTTACAGCCGAAGTCGTGATGTGGTGTAGGACAATGTGACAGTGTTTGTGTTTGTCTGTATTTGTTTTCAGCCGAAGTCGTGATGCCGAGCGGCAATAAGGACGCCGTGGTGGTGCAGGACAACCGCGACGGAACCGTCTCCGTCAAATACGAGCCTAAGGAGGAGGGCGTCCATGAGCTCAATGTCAAGTACAATGGAGAGCATGTGCAAGGTAAGTGCTCCCGGAGTACGTTTGGGTATATACGTTCGGAAGGCGTCGGCTGACTGGTAACAGCCCAATATTCAGATGGAACAACATTTAGAGGCTAGCTATAACTTCCTGGGGGCTCAGCATGACTGCAATCGCAATCCGATGTCAAAATCTTTATAGCCCCAGTGACCAATAACCGGTAGGAATATCTGGTCTTGAGCCGGGGACTGGGTCAGGATCGGCCGGTCGGACTCAGTTTGGTGGGCTGGGACCACCAGCCAGCACGCCCCCGTCCCGCGCCGGGCTGGTTCCAGCGCGCTGGAGCGCCGATGCCAGGCAGACTCCGGAGGCAGCTATTTATAGGGAAGCTGCGCACCTGCTCCCGACGGCGGCCCGTGAAGAAAACGAGCTGTTTTTCAGCGGCGCCAGCTAAATCTGAGGGTGGGGAGAGGTTAGCACCGCCAGGAGACCTGCTGTCGGCGGGTAGAGGGAGGGAGGTGGCAGGGTAGAGGGAAGGGGTGACTCGTTAGGGAAGAGAGAGGAAGAGCGATTAGCTGAAAGATTTATGACTTGGTTCGCTTTCGTATTTATTGTTTGTGTGGAGAGAGAAGTGAAATCGAGAAACATGCATGGATGATAAATTTCCCCGCATTATTAATGGTGCTTTTAATGGTATGAAACAAAATCGTGATATTAGAAAGACTCCTCACAAATTATTTGCCTAAAGCGCACAACACACTCCTACTATTTATTCCTTTGTCGCTTATTTGCAGATAGGAACAACTGATTCGAAAACACAGCTTGTAGGGAATTGAAAGGGCAGTAAATAGTCAAATTACAAAAAACATGACCTCATAAATGGACTCAATTACAGACTTGTTGTTTGGGTACAGGCCGATAGTTAGTAGCTACGTTTTCATATGGTTGCACTGTGCAGTGGCTTTCGGCTAGCATTTTGATGCGGATAAGGAATTGCTCATAGATCATTTAGTCATTTCTTGAGATCTACTAAAGAAAACCGAAAATCTCCAACACGTTCCGGTACTGAGTACCGGACGACCTTGTGTGTCCCGCAGGCTCTCCGTTCAAGTTCCACGTCGACTCCATCTCCAGCGGCTACGTGACCGCCTACGGACCGGGCCTGATCTATGGCATCACCGGCGAGCCGGCCAACTTCACCGTGTCGACCAAGGATGCCGGCTCAGGTAGCGCCACCAGCCGCGGTAAATTCTCCTCTCGATTCTAGGCATGCTGCCGCCGCCGTGCGGCCCGCCCGCTACAGTGCTGCCACCTGGGAGGCGCTGGGCTGAACTGCCGACTCCCACTGCTGCCGCTGCCCTCTCCACTGGCCGAGCTTTTCCCCAGCTGCTGTCAAAACCCTACTGTTTTGTCTATTGGCGTCGAGACTTTTGGAGATCTGAACATACGATGTAGTGCCTATCAGTGTGTAGTATATAGTGAAACGTGTTTCTTTGATACATTTTTGCAAAGTACCGTTTTGCCTCATGGTATTTTCCTTTGTCACCCTTCGAATCTTTACTCGTAGAGTTGAATGAAGAGATTGGATGTTCTCGTGGACTGTATTCTGATGTAGATCAACTAATTGACTGTTGCATTATTTTTGCGTTTCATCAAATTTAGTCACTGAAGTATAACTGTTGCTGTGTTAGTTTGGTATTACTCTGTAGAAACTTGAATAAGTCTAACGACGAAAGGTCCCCAAAACACGTATATTTTCAAAAGACCACCAGTCTAAGTGGTAATTGGAAGTTTCTACTTTGCAACTTGCTCTGTTTGCTAATTATATGAAATCTCCATTAATGCTTGGTATGTGTTATCGTTATCTTGGCTTCTGTTAACGTGTCACTTTTGACTTCTTGTCTTTTGAAAATAAGCAGGTCCAGAAATAGGACACGGGGATTAGATTTAACCCGCGCCCCACTGGGGTCTGCGTATAACACGCCCTACTGGGGGGGGGGGCTCTCCATAGCCCCCTCCTAACTCCGAAACTACTGGGCCGATCGTCAAAATTCAAACGGCGTCTGATAGCCCCGGAAAAACTGTCGAGCGAAACCTAATTTCATTCACCTCGAGGTCACCGATGACGTCACAGGTCAGGTCAAAGTAAAAATTATTAGCATTTTGGCTTGTTCACATTTCGGGCTTTGGCCGCCGTCTTACAAGTCAGATCAGGCTCATTTTTGCTTTACACAATCGTGAACACATGCTCTAGATACCTTGAGGGTACCAAACTTGTACTTTGATTTTCAGGTCAGGGTCAGGTCATCACAGGTCACGAAAATATTATATCATGCGTCGGTCACGTGACACATGTTTAATGGTCCATTTAGGCCATACATTTCGAATTTGATGTCGTCTGTGTCATTCGAGGTCATTTTGAGTCGAATTTAGCTTAGATCAGGTCACTTGTCAAAAAAGGTCAAATTTTGAAGTTAAAATTTTTCAACAAAAAAGGTGTCTATTGGATGCAGTTTGAGCTCAGGAACACGATTGCTATTTATATTGGTGTACGATGTCAAATACGTACTGAAAAATTGAATTGAAAAATTAATAATTGTGAATTGTTTGCAATAATGCGTATAACTTGGCCATTTTTGAAGATATTTGGCTAAAGCTTGCTAGAGTTAGTCATAAGCATGCGTTCTGTCACATGTATTCCGGTTTCTTCGAAACCTCAAAAACTTTTTGAAAAAATATAAAAATATAAATTTTGAATATTATTATATAAAATTTTCGAAATTTTCAAAATTTTGAAAATCCAAGATAGCAGTTTGATAGCGCAGTCAATTCTGAGTCCTTTCATGCAAAGAAATTGGATCTAGCTTAAAAAAAATGAGCTCTTGGGAGCGATTGCCGTGGTTCAATGTTTTGCGTCAAAATCGGCCGAATATGACGTCACTCTGACGTCATTTCCGGCCGACCTATGGTAGCTACGAAGTTTAAATTTTGACACAAGGTGTCAAATTAATGCAGCCGAAGGTACTGAAAGTTTGGCGTCGATACGTCAAGTGGTTTGGAAGTTATTGCAGAAAAACGGGAGGGAGGGCTATGAATAGCCCCCCTCCCTGCAGTGGGGCGCGGGTTAAGGTCCACGAATGCACTGTTATCAACTGTGCAATATGCATGCTTACATGTTCCCTTGTTGAGCTTCACTGCTTAGTACATATTTGCAAGGTGGTGTGTAAAGTGTTAATTGATCTTAAAGGGTAATTATGGATTAAGTATGCTTATGGATAATTCTATTCTCATGGTCTTAAACGTTTATTAATCGGAAGAGCCACCAGCTGAAATGTAAACGTTGAACCATGCCGCGATGATGCATTGGTTGTGTATACTAATTCGAAGAATTAAATTGGCTGTTTAAACTGGTGATACTGTTACTTTATGAGAAACTCGATACGTTATGTTTATCTTTGAAACGTGCAATCTAATTGTTAAATGGTATATAAAAACGTCTGACGAATAATAATGTCGCATGTGCTGTATCTAAAATGCAATGTGATGTGCGAATCTCTTCACAGCTGAGACGTCAACATCAAGGTTTGGATAATCAATGTGGTGACCTTTTATCTCTGTGATTTATATTTTCCCTATTTTGTAAGCAGTGTAGTCATTTTTATTGTCCTTTTTGTTCGAGAAGCTAAACATTGTTTGTCACAACATATCATGTATGTAGCACAACTACTATTAAACCTCATATTGTTTTATTCTTGCAGTTTGTGTATACAGCCTCCGCACCCACCCGTGGTTCTGCATCTGACCTATCCGCCCTCACCATCCCTCCCCACCCTCCCGTCCCTCAGGCGGCCTGGCGCTGGCCGTGGAGGGCCCCAGCAAGACGGACATCAACTGCCACGATAACAAGGACGGCACCGTGTCCGTCAGCTATCTGCCCACGTCGCCCGGCATCTACCACGTCTCCGTCAAGTTCGCCGACAAGGACATCAAGGGCAGCCCCTTCCCGGTCAAGGTCACAGGTCAGTGACGGAGAAAGTTCACGGGTCGAATAATGTCATCGTTTTGCAATAGTTATGGTAAAGCTCTGACAGCAGGGTTGAACAAGATCACAGGTCCCAGCAAGCAAGTTAAAAGGCTAACCGTGGGTGCTGAGTAATTCAGGATATATTTGTGAAGTTAAATTTTACTTCCTAGTCAAACACTTCCTGACTCTCCCTACGCGTCGTCTTAAAACAGCTCACTACGAATTCTCCGTATTTTTATTGTTTGTTGTTGCCCTTTCCTATGCTTTCTAGTTCTACCACGCGCTGAACTCATGTCTCTTCGTTTGTGCAGGCGAGGGCCGCAAGCGTAACCAGGTCTCGATGGGAGCTCAGTCGGAGGTCACGCTGCCCGGAAAGGTGACGGAGAAGGACATCAAGCTGCTGAACGCCCTAATCACCGCGCCCTCCGGTCTCGAGGAGCCGTGCTTCCTCAAGAAACTCGACAAGGACCAACTGGGTAAGACTGGCTCAGACGACACATACTGCTGCTATTTATTGCCGATAAAAGCACATCAGTGCACGAAATAACGTCCCGTTGTGTGACTGGCCTCAATATCACGATTATATGTGAGGACCAGCAATACATGTCTTAGATTAGCTCAAGAAAAAAAAAACATTGCTAGCGAATCGTTGGTTTTTTTCTGACGATCTTCCATCATGTCCCAGGCATTTCGCTCACGCCCCCGTAAGATCTGCTAGTACCTACTGCTCGGAGCATACCGTATCTCACTGCACTGTTAGTTCTTTCTGACGACCCTCCGCGCTCCCCCAGGCATTTCGTTCACTCCCCGCGAGATCGGCCAGCACCTGGTGGCCGTGAAGAAGAAGGGCACTGAGATCGCCGGCTCGCCGTTCAAGATCATGGTCAGCCCGCACGACGTCGGTGACGCCCTGAAGGTGAAGGTGGAGGGCAGCGCTCTGACCTCCGGAAAGACGCACCAGCAAAACAAGTTCACCATCGACACCAAGTCTGCAGGTGAGCGCTGGCGATGGAGACGTCATCTGCGACTCATGGGAGGTTGTGGCTTATAGAGGTCAATAGCGTGCTTTTCGCACTTTTAATCAGCTTTGTCGGTTTTTGTTCGCTCAAATGCTCCTACATCGACTTTCAAAATTCAGGCATTTGGGGTTTTGACATATGTTTCTTTGAAATATTGGACACTTCATTCTTCCAAAGTCGATTACCTGTTTCAATTCAGGAATGCCTCCCAAGGTCTTTTGATGATTCGACAACACCCTCAGTCACGTTACCTTTCCACGTCGACAGGCTACGGCGGTGTGTCCCTCTCCATGGAGGGACCCAGCAAGGCCGAGATCAAGTGCGACGACAAGGGAGACGGCAAGCTGGAGGTCTCCTACAACCCCAAGGAGCCCGGCTTCTACATCATCAACCTCAAGTTCGCTGACCATCATGTCAAGGGCTCGCCATTCACCTGCAAGGTTCGTAACCGTGCATTAGGCTCTTGACGTTGTTATGAAGGGAATGCTTTTTTAGATATCCTAAGTGGTGACTAAGTACCGCGGAAGTATGCCGTGGGACAAAATTCGCCAGAAAGATAACGAACAACAGACATTTTATCATGCGTTTTTTCTATTTGAATTATCCGTGTATTCGCTATGTCACCACTTCACCACACCTTCCCTTCGCACGGACTCGTCACTCCACACTCATCCCTGTGACACTCCTCCTTTCTCCTCAGGTGACCGGCGAGGGCTCCAACACCCAAACGGAGCGCATCAAGCGGGACCGTGCCGCCGCTCCCCTCACCGCTGTCGGCACTGACTGCGCGCTCACCTTCAAAATGCCGGGCGTCTCGGCTCTCGAGCTCTCCGCCTCTGTCGCCTCTCCGGGTGGTGTGGTCGAGGATGCGTCCATCTCGGAGCTCGAGGACAGCCTGCACGCGGTGAAATTCGTGCCCAAGGAGCTGGGCGTCCACACGGTGTCGGTGCGCTACAGGGATGTGCACATCCCCGGGTCGCCGTTCCAGTTCACTGTTGGACCGCTGAAGGTAAGACGGAGCAGCAGAGGTGGCGTTTAGCGGCGGCGGAGAATGCCTGAGAGGTAGGCTGTACCGCAGTACACCCGTGTTAGCCGGTACAGCCTACGCATCAGTAAAGTATGACGCATGTAGGGAGCTGTGATGGCGATCGTTTACGGAAGTGGCACATAGCTTGTGGTGAGGTTCAGATATCGATGGCTACAAATCAGGTGCTTGAACCATTTGGAACATTTAACGTGCGTCTTTGTAAGATCTTGAGACACGTGTTATCAATGCTTTTATGCGGCCTCAAACATCTAAGCTACACATGCTCATCAACGCGAGATTTTTGAACCATGACCCACGGAGCTGACGTGCGACCTGTACCCCCACAGGACGGCGGCGCGCACCGCGTCCACGCCGGCGGTCCCGGTCTGGAGCGGGGTGAGCAGGGCTGTCCTTGCGAGTTCAACGTGTGGACCCGAGAGGCCGGCGCCGGATCCCTCGCCGTCAGTGTGGAGGGCCCGAGCAAGGCCGAGATCGACTTCAAGGACCGTCAGGACGGCTCGTGCTACATCAGCTACGTCGTCTCCGAGCCAGGTACGGCCAGGGAAGATGTTGCGTACGGATTGTTTCGAGGGAAGCTGCGCGTAGTCTTCAAGCTGGCGTGTTCCCAGTTCGCCATTGTTTACTTCATTCTGTAAATGGACTGCTACCAGGAGCTGAACTGACTGCGAGTTTCTGTTCGCGTTACGGAGCTATTTTCGGGGATGACTCTGCTAAAAATGTTGGCAGAGAGCGGCGACTTGAAGTTTGTTTACGAACGTAGATGGTGTTGATGTTAGGATTCGCGGGATTTGTGCCTGCATAACTGCTTTGACGGATCTTAGTGTGGTAGCTTCGAATGGTCTATGCATAGCTGACCCGGAATGTCAAAAGAAAGTGACAATCTAGCATGCTTAGGTACTTGCAATACGAACGTTTAACTTACAATCATGAGTAGAAAAATCTTCATCTAAGAACCAGCAACCAATTTAACACATTTCGGTTATATGAAGGTAACAGTGATCATCTACACAAGTGGCCGCTACTGATGTTTCATTTTACTCGCTTTCAACATCCTGAGTCTGAACTGACGACAACCTCTGCCCTTCCCCAGGCGAGTACCGCGTGGGTATCAAGTTCAACGACTCGCACATCCCCGACTCTCCGTACAAGGTGTTTGTGTCTCCGGCCAACAAGGACGCGCACAAGGTCACCGTGGGCCAACTGCCCGACGCCGGAGTGCAGGTCAGTCGACGGTCAATCAGTGATCTGAGCGTAGTCCATCAGGCGATTGTGTTTTCCCACAATGACTGACTATGTTTGCGAAATCAACGTCTGTGATCGGTATTTTCTAGTTTTGATATGTCAAGTTTTGATAAGCTATTTATCATTCATATTTAACAGTCGATTTCTCTGTCTAGGCAAAAGCAGATCTATTTTGTATCCAACTTGTAGCATGCGGCACCCAACTTATCATGGGTGATCAACTAGTCAGCTCTGATTTTCTGACGGTCACCTTGCAATTTACATACAGCCATTGACACAGTATGTCTCGGTCTTTCTCCCCCATCCCACCAGGTGGACAAGCCGATCATCTTCACTGTGGACCGCACCGGCTGCAAGGGTCAGATGGACTGCAAGGTGGTCAACCCGAGCGGCCACGAGGACGACTGCTTCATCACCTACCTGGACGACGACACGTACTCGGTCCGATTCCTGCCAAAGGAGAACGGCATCCACCAGGTGAGGAACGGTGGGCGGGTTGTAGGTATGTACGTGATTCTACATGGCTGCTGGGGCATTTATGAAGGGTGTGATTGCCGCTGGGCCTCAGGATGGTTGATTCAAGACAGCCACTTCAACACGACTGAGTGAGTGAGGTACGGTCCGGTTGGTCAGCGAGGCTGAACAGTGCTTCTGTTCAGGGTATTGGAAGTCGAAAATCAGAGAATTTCTCATCTGCTCATCTGATTAGTTTTACTCTGCAGTTCGTACTATCCGACAATCGACCGAGTCTCAGTTCTCGAATATACGTATCACCTCCTCACTTTATCACGCTTTTAAAGGCCTTTCAGGCCACCTAGCCGGATGATCCCACCTCCCGTCCTCCCTCAGCTTCACGTCAAGTGGAACAGCGTGCACGTGCCCGGCTCGCCGTTCCGGCTGAAGATCGGCAGGCAGGACGCCGACCCTGCTGCCGTGCACGCGCACGGAAAGGGTCTGGAGAAGGGTCACACCGGCCACAAGTCGGACTTTATTATCGACACGTGCAGCGCAGGAGCCGGCACCCTAGGCGTTACCATCGACGGACCTTCCAAGGCGAGACCACGGTCGGGGAATTCTTAGAGGAAGGGTTTCCGTGGGTGTGCTGAGACAATAGCGTTAAGTATGAAGTGTGAGTACATACTGCTCAAGATTCTGTAAGTCGGGAAACCATAATTGACGTCAGCCATCTCCCTGGTGTCGGATTCTAACACTTTCGATTCTCCCTCGGTCCACCAGGTGGCTATGGACTGTACCGAGGTCGATGAGGGCTACAAGGTGCGCTACACCCCACTCAACCCCGGCCACTACTACGTGGCCATCAAGTACGACGGCTATCACATCGTCGGCTCGCCCTTCAAGGTCGAGGTCACCGGTAAGTACCAGCAGGGTCCGCTCATTAATTTGGTCACTTGGTCGGGTGGGGTTTGAACAAAAAAGTATGTGTGCTAGGGCCTTCCCTTTTCTTGTTCTTTATGGCCAGGGGTTCTCAGAGTGCTGCTGTGCTGGATTCGATCTTAATCATCCGGTCAAGATCTGTTTCAGTTTATGCAAGTCGTAAGTCTCAACCGCGAAGGAAGTAAGGTAAGGTGACGGCAGACTTGGCTGCGAGCTGGTTTCGCAACGCACATGCAATCCTGCACCTGTTCAAATCGATCTAGCAGTTGCCCAAACCGTCTTGAAGTGAATGCCAAAAAGGCCGGCCCGCTATGCGAATTGCGGCTGAAAAGAACTACAAGCATTGCCCTGCCGGATCTTCTTGCTGTTTTAGAATGCAGTACCCGCTAACAATGGTAATGAAATCAAAGATGATTTAGAGTAATGCTGCACCTTCGAAGTTCGATATCATGTGCGTGGAAAGTACAGCGGAGACTGAAACGTTACGAGTTCTCACTTATGGAACTCTATCCTACTCCTATCGATGCAAAACCCACTTTGGGGGCACTGCTTCTTTCTCGGGCCTGCGGCGTGTCTCACCTTCCGGGCGCACCGAGTCGAATAACATCCCGCACCTACTCTCCCTGAGCCCTATGCCGTCACCGCGGGCCACATCTGAGGGACCCAGCGGAGTTCTGTTTGAGTACACCGTCCGCGGGCCGCGGCGGATCCCCGGTGACGCAGGCGCCGCCAAAAGTATCGCCGCCGTCCCGAATAGACCCCGATGACGTGTCGGCACAAACACCGAGCGCTGCCAACTCTGCCTGGATCGTCCAGCAGCGGGCTGCCAAATTTTACCGATCGTCCGTCGGTATTTTGAGGGATGTGAGGGCAGAGGTGGTGCGGCTGTCAGTGGCGGCTCAGGCGTTCGGGTGGCAGCAGCGTGCGCGTGTGTGTGTCTGTGTGTGCCTGTGTGTGCGTCACGTCGTGTGACACCGCGTGACGGCAGCCATGTTCCAGTCGCAGTGTGCCTGGATCAGGAACGGTGAGCTGGGAAGGCTGGGACAGCGGGACTGGGTGTCTGTGGGACAAAGGTGCCAAACTCTAGCATCTTCTCCTGGCGATGCATATCGTTACTTGTCTGAGTGGACAGTTGAATCAGTGCGCTGGTGCAGCGTCTAAGATCAGGGAGTAAAAGCGCCAATCACTGGTGCCGTATACTGGAGCCGGTTGGCAGTGATATGCGAGGTCATGTGCGTCCAGTCTGCAATGTTGATACTCACCAATGCCGGGCGAAGCTGATTTGAGGGTGTTGCTGGAGCTGTGACCTCTGTGATACCTATCCGCGATGAGTGTAATACAGCGGCTGCGTGACTTTTCGAACAGTGAGAAATGCAGACTGTGACGCCCTCTGGGTGTTAAACGTTGCCAGGCGTGAGCGTGAAACGTCTTATCAAAACGGTGTAGACTGTGGTACTTTGACAAATGTGGTGTGAGTTGCTATAGCTCGTCCAACGACTAGCTTGGAGCGCAATTTGTAGCCTGTGAAGCAGTGACTTCCACCGGGTGTGAAATGTGACCGTGTGCCGTCGTCGAGTCGCCGCTGTGTTTGGCACAGTCACAGTGTGACTCACGTTCCTCGAACCGGGCGCGCTGTCAGGCTCATTTATCCCTCGCCTCCCCTCGACTCCCGGGGTCAGCCTATTTCGGTCACGGCCAGTTTCTTTCCGTTTTACTCACTCTCAACCTAGCTCTGATTCACTAACGGTCAATGGAATTTAAAGTAGCTATTTTAAGCATCACTTGAGTATCACACTGAGCCTCTTGATAAATGCTCTTATAGCACGTTGTAAGAGAGGCGGCGAATCTTTAAATCTTGGCAAGACTGTGAGTCATTGCTCTTGTGGAACGTGCCTTTTATAAGTAGGTACTCAAGTGCATATTCATACATCCAATATGTCGGTAGGAACTAGGTAGTGATTGGGTTCCGACTAAAAAAGAACAATATTGAGGGCGTTTATAAATGAAAAGAAAAGCATCGGCTGCTCAAACAGTGGCAGTGACACATGCTACCGTCCTTCATGACGGTGGACCCTGGGGAGCGGTGACGCCATCGACCGTAATGACGTATCCAGAATTCTCAACCTGCTCCCGCAACCATCTTTTATCGGCACTTTTTTACAGCTCAATAATAGTAGAAAAGCAGCGGGTCAGCCAGCCTATCTTGCCTAACCTGACCCCACCCTCACCCTCACCCTTCGTCAGGCGATGAGCTGGCCGAGATGGGACCCAAGGAGCAGTCCACAGTGGTGGTGGAGACCATCGCCAAACAGCGAAAGGGACAGCAGGAGAAACACGTCGTCTCGCTGCCCAAGTTCGACTCAGACGCCTCCAAAGTGCAGTCCAAGGGCATGGGCCTGAAGAAGGCATACCTGAACCGTCAGAACCAGTTCCAGATTGATGCCGGTACCGCAGGTAAGGACACAGTGGCAAAGGCGTTCTTATTGTAATTAGGTAGCAGGCAGTAGTGAGCTGCTAAGTAATTGACCAGATGCTCATTTTATATACGCACCAGCCTCAGCGCTAGTTATTATCATGCCGCTCGAGTGATTGGGTCAGCGTCAAAGAGTCGGCAATTCTTTCCTTAAGCCTAGAAGCTCGGCTTTGGAGTATCGGCCGGACTTACACGTATTGGCTGTCTGCACCTTAACCAGATCCGTTGGCACGCTTCATTTCGGCCCTCTCACCTGCCATTTCTGCTCCGCGCCACAGGTCAGGATATTCTGTGGGTGGGCTGTTTCGGTCCCAAGAACCCGTGCGAGGAGGTTCACATCAAGCACATGGGCCGTAATCAGTACCAGGTGCACTACACGGTCAAGGAGCGCGGCAAGCACATTCTGGCCGTCCGCTGGGGCGCCGACAACATCCCCGGATCGCCGTTCGAGATCGAGGTGTAGGCGGGGCGCTCCATGCCCGCGCCAGTCCGGTGCCTTTCCCGTGCCTTGGTGCGTGCGTGACCGCCGCACAGATCTGAGCTCGTATCAGTGTCGGCCGTCGGGGCTGACGGCGCCGCTGGGTTGTCCCCGCTGCCCGAGTGTCGGCCATCGCTGAACAGAGCGGCGAGCCGCTCTCTGGAGAGGCGGTCCGCGCTCAGCGCCCTCTGCCGGCGGCCTGTACCAGCTCGTGTTCATAGAGTGCCCGCCGCGAGGTGTGGGCGCCCCGAGCCGTCTTCCGTGGCGCCCGTCGGCCGGTCGCCGGCCGCCCGCTCAGGCTAGGCGCCCCGCGTGTGTATCTGCGTGTACCGCCCCGTGATCCGCTAACCTGTGTATCTCCGGCGCTCTAACCGTGTGCCAATAGTGGGCCCAGGCGGGCCGTCCACCGCCTCCCGACTGGGGCGAGCGAACGGCGCTCGGCTGCGGCCCCTGGTGCCAACTGCCCCCTCGTGGCACCCGCTGCGCGCTGCTTGATCCACCATGACGAGCTCATTTGATAGAGGTGTGGTTATATATGACGCGAAATAAAACAATCGACACCTACGTGACCGTCTTTGACAACGGACCAGTAAGTTTATCGGCAGATCTGTCAATCACATGACGCTAAAACTATGGACGGCTTGTAGACATGAAAACAAGATTCACCAATTTCATGCGTTACAGTGGTCTCCGACGACATGCAGTCTATTACGGACGCCGCAGCTGGAACTGGAAAAGGGATCGCCAAAGGTGGGCTAATCGAGACCCTTTTTGGAATCTTTTCTTTTTATACACGGGTCACGGCCGGGGTGTAATGTATAATTCGAGCCCAAAAGGGGACATGGGTGTAAGTGTTAATCGTGCTCCTCTTGCCCCTTACATCCGCAGATCCCAGTGCAATTTCCTGTAATCAGATCCCAGAGGGCGAACACCTGTGGTGTGCCACTATGCATTCTATAGTTTCCATTCCGGCCTATAGATGTCTCTACGCGGGCGCCTGTAACACGCTGTGCCGCACTACACAGTAGTTCCTACTCTCCCCTACAGATGTCACTTGTATCAAGCGCCTGAAGCATGCTGTACCGCAAGCCTCTGGCCAGCGACTGAGCCTGAATGACTCATAAGCTCGGCTCGGATGGTTCGGGAGTTTCGTCGCTGAACTGATATTAATTAAGTTGCAGAGCCAGCACCCGTAGCTCACGAGCTTTGTAAACGCGAAACATTAGCGGTCGAAAATTTCGGTCGCCATTGGTCAAGTGCCGCTTTTCCAGATGGTTGTAGGAACAACTGTCTGGAATTGTAACAAGGATTCAAGGTATTGTTGTCTGTAAGTTGGTCCCAATTATATCAGTAGGCATCACAACTTAATGATTTTTTTTTTAGCATTCGATGATAAAGTCACAAGCGCCGAAATCGATGACTGGGGATGTTGTTAATGTGGGCTGCCGTTATTGCCGATCTTATAAGAGTGTGATAAAATGCAACTTTGCAAATGATAGTAGAAAGCCCGATTATTGGTTGTTTTTAGATTTTCAAATATCTGTCCAGACGCATATTTCGGCCGAAAGGCTGGGATGTCTCATCTCATCTCATCCATCTAATCTCATCTCATCTCATATATACCTGCTGAGTGCTGAGCACAGTCATTACAATCAGTAGGGTAAGGTGCCTAATTAGCGACCCTTTCCGATTTGCGACCTACCTCCCTACAGAAAAACTGGCAGGAGAAGACGGGGTAAAAACATCGTCAAAAGATCAGCCATACTTTGGTTATCAAATTTAATTATTTTCCGGTCGTCGATGTTTCTGGTGGGACGTTTAAAGTGAGTTTAAATAAAAATGACGAGTTTCTTATCCAAAACGTGTGTGTTTGGGCCCTCTCTGATGAAAAGCGATGCACATTAGGATGGTGCACCTTTTTTATTCTGAATCGACATTCCTTTTTTAATTGATTGCCGTTTTCCCATAGTGAATCGCTCAACTGTGCACAGTATGGCGGTTAAAAATGTTTCGCAACTCATATTTCCTATTTGCGCCTGACATGGTCGCAAATAGCTCAAGAAGGGAAAGAAAGGGGAAAAGAGAGAAATGAAAATGAGGTGCTGCTGAAGCTTGCAATGTGTGGCAGGAGATGCCAAATATCGTCACCGACTGCAGGGGTGCCGAATTCAGCGCGGACCTCGAATATCATACAAGATAGCCCGCAAAATTTGGGTTTCCGCCTTCTTTTCGCCTTCGGTGCATCACGTGATCAGTTTTAACTTACGTAAATGTGTTGGATAAACGTTCCTGTTCGAGTGATTGAGTGCTTTGCGTATCGGTTACCTTTTTGAGATCATATTTCATCTTTTCAGGCGTCGCATTTTTTGCCATTTTTAATATGGGGAAACCCATAGACTTATTAGCGACCCTCCCCGGTCGCTAATCAGGAAGAGTTCCCTATTAGCGTTTTTTGCAATGGTTTGCCAAAATGCTCACTACAAATAAGTTAGTGAATATTGGGGCAGAAAATGACTGTATTTTAATAGAAAAATGAACGATCTCTCCGAAAATCAAGCCAGTAACACAGTGGCACCCACAGAGCGTGAGCAATGACGGTTCAAATTAAGGAGGTCGCTAATTAGGCACCTTACCCTACAATCAGTGTCACCTCGAATGGCGTAAAAGTGCCGGAACGCTTAACTCGGCAATTACAATGTAGCACGGGACCGACACGGTGAGTTGATGGTGCAATGCTATTTATTTTTGTCTCTGCACAACTTGTCAGCTTTTGTGCAAAATTCATCAATGCGTCGTTTTTTTTTTCTATCGAATGAGTCACCAATGCTTCCGTTGTACTTCATTTCGGTTCTGGCGGCTACCAGATGTGTGGTACCTTACGTGGTACAGTCCAATGCCAGCGTATCTACAGTGAGCCCCAACTATACCGCCAGTGCATTGGTCCCGCATCGGTCGGAACTTACGACGTTATCGTAGGCCGTTGCGTGGAGTTGATACAGGATCAAGAGCGCCAGCAGCCACACTTTGTTCAACTGATCAAAGCAAGCGCCAGTAGAGCGTGACACATTGTCAATTCAGCCGGAGATGAGGGTAGGTCCACTGGGTTTTTTTATCTATGAATCAGGCACTTATTGCAGAAGAATGCGACGCGGAAGCCGGGCGTCAATGGCACTATGACTCAACGGAAAAACTACTTCTAAAATACGACGCAAAATAGTGATACTACGACAGTTGCTATTTTACGAACGTCACTTTATCAAACCCAGGTTGATTGTTCTTATGACAGGCTATAAAGTAGGCATGCATGCGTATAGTGGTCCCAGTGATTCACCACAACACAGAGTTTAAAAATGAGGCCCCTCACAATCGGAGGGCGTTCCAACTACGCCATCTACTCTCTTCAATATCCCGGGGACCGACAGGGGCTCCCCGAAAATTACCAGCCGACAAAAAACGACAGGAAACACATACGTACGGCCCTCCAGCAAAAGAGTGGTTGGTTAGCCTATGTGCTTTTGGTGTAATAACTTTGAATGACAGAGACACTTGTAATATGACTCGTTAGATATGCGAAGAGGGTTCGTGCACACACTTCGGCAATGGTTTTCAACAGCCATTAGACGTATTCATCAATGCAGATCGCTTATTGTGAGGTTGGCAACCAACCACTAAATGCCTGGAGGGCCGTACATACCAGCCACAGATCGCTACTGTGACCTTTGCAGTGAGTCCAGAGTCTGTCACCTTTTGTGACCCTTTGTGAGCACAAAAAATGTATTGAAATGTGGAACAGTGGCTCTGGCCACTAACATATAGGGGAGATCCGTTAAGGCGCCTAGGGTCGGTAAGAGGCACCAGCGCCTTTTTACCAAACCAATGATATTATTATCATTAAATGTTCTTGTAAGGCAGACACTCATTTGAAACAACAAGTCACGAAACCCGGAGCAGCAGGCGCGTTGCGGTGACTTTTGGTACGTCTGTTTCTCATTTTCCCCTGTTCTTGCTAGTTATCTTATCCAATCGAATTTGTCCCAAATTAGCTTAAGGATAGACCATGTTCTGGTGCGCTACAAATGTCTCATGAAACATAAATATTTTTGACGTTTAGAACACTGCGTTTTTTTAGAGGCCTTCCCTTTGAGGATGATAAGACGCCCCCCCCCCCTGCAAGGAGCGATCATAGGTATGTTGGTGACATAGGCGGCGGAACGGGGAGGGCACCGGGGCACCGTGCCCTCCTTTGATTTTGGCATTTTAATATTAGCCCTATGGGCGTTGCATGGAAAGAATGGGACCAAAAGTCGGCAGTGCCCCCCCCCCCCCCCCCGCCCCCTTAATTGAAGGTTTTCCGCCGCTACTGGTTGGTGATATGTATCTTCCAATTACGAGGTAATACTGCTTGCGAGCACTTATTGAGTTCGTTTTGTCCTGTTGGGTAAACAGAGATGGTGATAATAGCTGATCTCGATTGGTTCGATAACTTTCGTTGGTCATTCGTTGGTTTTCGTTTGGTTATGCTAATTTTCGCATTGTTCGAGCACTTCGGAAGTGTTTTGGTCTCAATAACACTGTATTTTCTTAGCCTTTCGACATGAAAGGCCTTGCAGTTGTGATCGCAAAGCGTCTTTGGCTTACGCTCGACTTAAGTAATTTAACACCCGTGGAGGGGGTCTTATATCCCGCGCCCTGATGGCGGGCATTTTGGCCCCACCCCCGTGTTTTTTCTTGAATAGCGAAAAAACGGCGGCGCGCAGAGCCGCCAAATTTACAGTACCTTTTGAGTCATCAATTTGACACCATCATAAAAATTTCAAGTCATAGGTCATCTTAGGACAGGAGTTATTGAGGTCAAACTGAGGTTACGTTCGAGCAAAAATGAGCAAAAAATATGAAATCTTGAAACGCTAACAAAAGCTACAGTTAACAAAACGAGCAATTTCAAAGTTTATTGAATGGTCGTGTAGAGAAAATACGGCGCTACAAAACTGCTATCTCGGATTTTCAACACGTTGTTTTGACTCCAACAAAAATGTTTTTTTTTTCGATAAAAGAGCAAACATATACCAAAAGGTTTTTTCGAATTTCGAAAAACGGAATGTTAATGATAGTCCCTACCCTCTTCTATCTACATAACAAATTGTAGATCGATAGCTCCTTTTTTGGCCAAGATATAGCGAAAAAAAACTGTTCAAAATTGATGTCAAATTTTCCAACTTAATTTTTAGCTATTCTAGACAAGACCACGTAGCGCAAAACAAAGACCACCATTAGAATCCCCGTGACGAGCTGTATCGAATCAATTCAATACCCATTTATTGCAAAAAAACCTACAAGTTTGAAATTTGACCTTATTGGACCTGACCTTGACCTGACCTGCACCAGAAATAACAACTGGCCACAAAAGGCTGCCTGACCCACATCATCGCATTTGTCATGTAAAATGGACCATAAAACATGCATCACATGATATTTCCATATTTTGACCCTCAGTGACCTGAGCTCTGTGACCTGACCTGGTATCAGTGACCTCAAATAGCAAAATATGTGTTTTATGGGCATTT